CCTTTAACAATTTGTTGCACTGTTTGCCTCTTATCCAGGTTATTGATGAGTATGTCAGACAACACAGGGGCCAGAATAAATTGAAGTACAGGGTCTGAAAGAATTCTGTTGGTGATACCCCTCCCACCCCCCTCCTGCAAAATAATTCTTTACTCTCACAGTCTGAATTAACACCTTTAAATGCAGTGGCTGCTTATTTTTCTTAAAAGCCTGAGGTAAGGAACTTTATCTGAAACCTTATGGAAATTTAAGGAAGACGCAGGAACTTGATCACTCTTATCCAAATGTGATGAAGAGTCAGGTGGCTCTAAAAGTTTTGCAACATTGGCTTCTATAAGAGAAAGGAGCTTTCACCCAGATGCCCAGAAGTCTTTTTTTTCTTTTTTTATTCTTTTTCTTTATCTTTTTTAATACCCATTATCAAGTCTGAAGTTCCTTAATTCCTTTTGAAACCCCTTTGTATAACTAATATTCATATTTGCTTCCCTTCAGTCCACAGGTATCAAGTAATTTTCATTGAGAGGTTATACATCATCATTAGCATTCATTTTTTTTTCTTTCCTTGAGTTCTTGTTAAATCCTTGCATGAATATCATCTGATTCCAATCATGGCTATTGTGTGAGTAGCATATGTTATTAAATGTTAGTATTACATTCCCTTAAAAGGCCAGCATATATATCTTGCATCCATTTATCTATGGGCCAAGGACCCAGATCCTTTCTAGTTCATACAGCCTTGTACACGGTTTCAGGGCTAAGTTATATACACTCAGTAAAAATAGAAAATGGTGTTTGGAAAACGTAGCCTCCCCCATTATGCACACAGACACTCAAACCTAGAGAGGGAAAAGAAGAAGTGATGCCATACTCTGCTCACTTGTTATTATCTAGTTCTTTAATATTTGTACTAGATGCTGTCAATTATTTTTAATGACATAAAAATTGACACAATAGAAAACTAGTTTGAGGGTGTAGTTGTAGATAAGACAGCCCATGCTGACTTGTAGAGATAAATTCACTTTCCATGAGCTCTACCTTTCTTTGATGGAATCATTTATTGTATTCTGGTGTAATTTTCTGCCTTCAGGTGTAATTTAAGCAGTGAACATGTTTCTTTATAAACACACCCACACAGAAAGAAATGTATAGACTTTTTTTGTAGTTTAAAGAAATGAGAAGTAAAGTGAAATGGTAGTATTGGATCCAACCCACTCTGCATTTAAATGTAAAAGAGAAATGAAATTGCTCTATCTTATTTTAAGTGGATTGTCTTCACAGTTTCATAAAGATGAATTCACTGTTTTATTTGCACTTTGTGCAGCAAAGCATGAAAAGCTTCAAGTGCTTTCCAGGTCTTAAAGAAAAAAAATCTAGTTTATTAAATATTTAACTAAAACCTTAATTTTCAAAATACAATAGTACAAAATGTCTTGGTTTTATTAATTGAAATCATTGTGGGATGGGGAGGAAAAAGAAATTTTTGATGTTTTGATTTACAATTATTGAAGACAAGTTTACAGCACTGTCTAGCCAACAATAAACTTCTTACTTTTGCCTCACTAATGTCTTAGAAAATGAGTTTTCTCAAGGGTCAGATTTTTCAAAAAATGCCCTATTTAGAAATAACAAAATTTTATAGGGTACTGGATGATTTTTAATCGCATATATTTGTTCTGAATTACAATTTTTAATTCTATTTATTCCATGACTTTAAGAAGCAGCCTGTTGGGATTCACTTCGGAGGTAACTTCTCACTCACTAAGCACAGAATGCTTAAATGTAGTAGCTCATTTCAGGTTCAAAGTACTCCATTTTGCAAAGTAAGTAAAGAGTGAATAGGTAAGTCTCTCAGTAATCCTTAAAGCCATGTTTGACACGTTAATTATATAACAATTGATGTAAAATTGCTGCAGGTGGCAGCTCTGAAAGAAACAGCATAGTGGGTGTAACTAACACAAAGGGAAAAATTGGAGCTGTAAATCCCTTGAAACAATACTTATTTGTTTCGTGAGAAGCTTTTGTTCAGCATTAAACAGCTATGACTTTTGCCTTATATATCCATGTATATATATATGTATGTATATACATATACATATATATTTTTTGATTTTTAAAATTGAATACGTGTAGTAACCCCAAAGTTAAAGGTTGTGAGGCACAAAAAATATTTTGACAGTACCTAATTGTATTCATACTGTATTAAGCACATGTATGTTTCTGCAGTTCTATCAGTTGACTATCATATCCAAAGAAAGAAGCTGCAGGGTGAGTTTACTAACTCTTAATGCATGAACATGACTTGCAAGATTAGCTAAAGTTGCTAATAAAAAATAAGTTAAGTTAAAAATTAAGTTCTATGAAAATCCAAATATTGATTACATCTTTTAAATGCCAGCAAGAATATTGAATAACTTAAAAAACATAACCTAAAATACTGAATTTTTAACTATTAAATTTTTGTGTTGGGAGCTGTCATTTTTTCAGTATTTGTACAGTACCAAATAAAAATGAAATTGACTGGAATATCTTTATTAAGAAGTAGCATTAGTGTCATAGATGTTTTTCTAGATCTACTGAAAAACGTATGCATGTTCTTCTTCTGTAATTGTTTGTAAACTATACTTCAGATACATTTGTTCATTCTTTGGGGAAAATGTTGCACAACAAAATTACTTCTATTTCAAATCCATTGATTAGCATTAAAAGGAGAATATTTGTACCATAATAATTTATAATTTTCTATGTTTGCTCATGTTCAGTGACAGAAAAAGAAAATGGATTTTTTTACTTTGCAATTTTCTAAAGTAAAATTCTTAAATATGCATCACTATTTTTCAAAGAAATTGAGTAGACAATCAAGACCCAATGCTTTGGACTTACCAAATGGAAAATTGAATTTGGACAGGACTAACACAAAAAATAGTGGTTCAGATTCAGAAATGCTGTCCTCTATATCAAAATTTAGGTCATTTGTGCTTATCTATACCTACTAAAAATCTAGTCTAGAGTTTTATGCATAAAGAAAAGATGAGAGAGAAAAATTGTCTTGCGCTCTGCAGCTGCTGAAAAGAGGTAAAAATATCTGACCACTCATACTTTGGCCTGAAACATTCTCCTCTATGTAGAAGTAAGACAAAGATCAATACAAAGCATGTTAAACAGCTGATTAATTATCTCTCTCTTTGTTGTGTCTCTTTTCTGAAACATGATTTCTGTCCCTAAATGCTAGATTATCTTTAAAGCTGTGGGGTTTTTACATGCACAAGAGAAGAAAAAATAAAATCCCTTTTTAAATTGTCCAGGTACCTCTTTTTCCTTCTGAAATGTTTTCTTTTTTCCTCCACCATCTATCAGGGCACTCATAAAACAAATCGGATTTTAGGATTAAAGGGAAATGAAGGGTCAGAAATAATGCTGTGTGCATAATCTGACTACTTATGTAGCCCAAGCTGTGTAAACAAATCAGGAAATTTGAAGTCTTTGAAGAAAGAACTCAACAAACACTACCTGAATATACACTGTATCCACTAAGCCAACTCAATTATAAAAGCTATTGTATGTCCAGCAAACAAATAAGGACAAAAATGAAAATGAAATTCAGTGTTTTCTGTGTAAGTTGGTTTGTTTACGAGCAGGACAGTTAGCTCATGGTGAGACTATCACTGAAGATAGACCATTGACGGGTTTCAGTCAGGTAAGTCTTTCTAGCAAGACACACCAACGTTAATGATAGCATAAAAGACAGCAAATTGATAGAAAACACCATTCTCAAACTGGTAGGAAAAGGCAGTTTCACTCGTCAAACCCAGGAGGAAAGTGGGGAGACACCATGTGGTAGAAACGTGGCAGAGGTACAGGGAGGAGGTGATGATGGCAACAGCGAATTAATTAAAAGACAACAGTCATCAAAGCAACAATTCATCTCACATTGAGATGTTTAGCTCAGAAATAGTGCCATAGCACAGAAATTAAACACTTAGTCTGGAGAATTATTTGGGAGTGTTGTTTAGTAGTTACAGTTCAAATTTAGTGCTTTCACAATACAATTACTGATAAGCTAGAGTCTCAGCCAAATCAGTGTGTGACAAATATGTCATTAGAGGTTTCAAAAAACCCAATCACTTTGTTCCTAGAAAAAATGATGATTCATATTCAAATGGTTGACATTCTTATTTAGCTGTTATAAGTGTGGCAAAAACTCATGTGCTACAGCCTTTTAAATGCAAAAGACAAATTAATGCTTGTTTCTTTATAAAAAAGAAATGTGATTGAACTTTTTCCAGCTCTCACCAATGCATCACATCTGTTCCTTTTATCTATTTTATTAATTTCTACTATCAGTGGTTTCTTCTTTTGCTTCTGCAAAATATAGCAAATGGTTATTTTTCGTGATCTGTGCTATCACCTCATAATTCATTTCTAGCTGTGTTCTCAGTTAGTGAGTTGTTGGTTTATTTTCTGTTTAAAATTCAGAGGAGACTGAGACCAAATGAAAATTTTGGTGCTCAATCATTGGTTTATGTATTCAGGCTGTCTTTTTTTAAAGATAAATTCTTCAGGCACCATATTCTGTATAACTCATCTACCAGGCTTTCAGCTATTCTACATGCTGTGTAACGTGAGGTTTTTTCCATAGGAAAAACCTGTTTTCCCCTTTGCAGTTTAATAGTGGTTCCGTGGCAGCTTTTACAATATCTGTCATGGAAAAGGAAAGACTACTTACAGAGCTGTAGCAGGTTGACTTGGATTTTGGGTTTGTTTTTTTTCTTAGTTGGTTGGTTTTTTTTGTTTGGTTTTTTTTGTGACCTATGACAGAAATTAGGAAATATTTAATCTTGTTCTGCATATGCCATGGCAAATCACCTAAAAACTACAGTCTGAGACCTGTCTAATTCATCTTTTTAAAGACACTACCCTCAACAGAGTGTCAGATTTCACACTGATGTGAAAGGCTGATCTTTCTGTACATATATAGTTTTATTTCCAAGTTGCTTAAAGGTAAACTTGTCTCATTTCTAGTTGTACCTCCGGTGCTTTTTTCTTCACACATCTCTTCCTGTCTTTCCTGAAGCCTTCCCAGCAGTTTTTCAAGAAATCTGCACAATAGACACTTTTAAATCTCTGACATGTAATAAAAGAGCTCAACATAGATGTTACTAGTTATTAATGAAAATTAAAAATAAAATTAACAAAGCTAAACTACCAGTAAATCATCATATATGAACTAACCTTTAAATAATTCCCAAAACATCTCCTGAACTAGTAAATGAATGAGGGCTAAGTTGTCCTATAAGGAGGATTTTGAAGTGCTATTATGTGATAAATTACACTGGTGAACCTATTCACTATGAGACAAAGGATTTTCAGAATCCAAACTTAATCAGGAAAGCAGTTGAGAGCTGTGTACTGGCATCACGTATTGTAAAATGGAAAGAAGTTATAGCAACCATAAAAAGAAACAATACTAATCAAAAGAGATAATTACTGTGAAATATCTTGTTAGGGTACACTTCTGCACAGTTTTCAAGCTTTAAAATGTGTTGCATTAAGGAACATGATACAACTTTTAAGGAAGGACTTACACAATTTTTTTCTGACTAAAATATTGCAAAAGATGGAGATTTCAAGTAAAGCTTAAATAGTAAATAAAATAACATCAGCAAAATAATTTAGGAGAACCATTTTTGTTGGTTTTAGGCACATGTGAACAAAAGAATATGGAAAAAGTCCCTCACAAATGCATAATCTCTTATTTGCCAGATTAGGAAATAGCAATGAGTTAGTCACGTCTGTGTTCTTTAGCATTATATTTAAGTTAAAACAAACAAACAAACAAAAAAAGAAAGAAGAAAAGGTTTTTAACATCATGATTTCAAAGCAGAACTCATGATCTGCAAAATTTTTATTTCTGAGTTCTAGAAGTGTGGATGTGACAGTACTTACATTGGAAATGGTCTGAGAAATGGATTTAGACTACACCATAAAAAAAGGATAATTTTGTTTTTCCTAGAGGAAACAGCAAAAAGAGGGCTAAGAAAAGTAAACCTAGCATTGTTCTTCCATTTTTCTCTGCCTTCGAGTACTATACCCATTTCTGAAATTTACTGTCAATTCTGGAGATGGAGTAGCATAAGTAAATATCACAGTGATACAAATGGAGAGAGATTAAGGACTTTCTGCTCAAACATTATTCCATTATTTTTTCATACAGATCTTTAAAATAGTTATGTTCAGCAGATAAATAATCTTATTCAAAGTTAATATGAAGAAAAATAGTATTTACACAATAGAGCTACATTACAGCACTGCATGGTCTTCTGTCCTGTAGATAACTCTTTTCCCTTTCAAACAAAGAATTGTTTTGAGTTTTTATTTGTTTGTTTTTTGGTTTGGTTTGGGGTTTTTTGTTTTGTTTTGCTTTCTGTTTTGTTTTTTCTTTTTTTAATATTTCAGGGGAAATTACTTAGGAAGGGATATCTATGTGGAGTACTTTATTTCTAACTCAAAACATTGCATTCTTTCTTCAGGGTTTATGTTGGTCAGACAAAGAGTCATTCCAGGCTTTTACAAATCTTGCAAGGAAAATTACTGATCTTTCAAAATTTGCTGTGGAACAGCAAACCAGTATTTATGCTAGTGTTGTTCATACTGCGAACACACTAGTAAAGCCCTTCCTACTGTCATCACTGTGGGGTAAGACATCAATTAATTCAACAGATCGCATCAGAAGCCAATCCTGGTCATCAGAGAAGAAAGTAAAAAATGGCCATCACCTTTTTGAACAAAAAGTAGTTACATTTAAAGACGTTGTTTCATATTCTATACAATTGTGTGTTTTGGTGGGAGTATATCTGTGGTTGTTGCCCACCTATGGAGTTTCACAAAATGATAAGACATTTAAAATTTCAAATCCTTTCTGATCAGAAATCAGTGTTTCGTTTGGCATGTGTTACATGCCTGACAGACACCACTGGAGAGTATTTAATATCAAGCATTTCATAAATGATCCATTAGGATCAGACTTCATGATTACTCCCAGGAGAAGTATGTGTTTATATCTTTACCATTTACTCACTCAGCTTTCTATCCTGTTGGGAATTAAGAGCTGGAAACTCTCCAGATAGCTGTTTGTAGTCAATGAGAACCTGAATGACTGTGATAAGATGTCGGCTGCTGTGCTCTCCAACCCATCCATTGCAGAAAGACCCCACTCTCAGAATCTGTCAGTTTTGATTGTGAGCTAACTGTTTTGGGAAGAAAAGGGGAAACTGTACTAAACCATTTTTCTCATTGCTTTGACACCAGACCCTTCCTAAAATTTGTATTTTTGTATGTAAATAGCATTTTGCCTTTTCCAGACTACCTTATGTCCCATACCACACCATCTTCTGTCACCTTTATTGATAATTTGCTGGCTTCAGAGTGGTATTTTTGCTAATGATGAATTAAACCACATCATCTTCCAAACAACTCTGAGCTGCAAAAAGTTCATACTGAGAGAAAAATTAGAGGTATGATATTTGGGGCTATTTCTTGAAGGGCCTGGCATTTTCTGTGGGACATGCTGCTCTTTATAGCCTAGGTGATAAATGTGATATTAGTCAATTAAAGAAAAAATAAGAGAGATGTGTAATCACAGAAATTACAATGTAATGAAGCAATCCAAAGTATTTTAGATTAAAAAAAATATTAACTATTGAAATTGAAACGGCATTCTGTGACAGAAATAATCCAGTATAGTATCTGATGCATAATCATGTAAGTAAAGATAATTTTTTTAACTGACTATTAATTAATAAGAAAGAAGCAAAGATAAACTTGTTAACACTTTTCAGATGTTTTGGAAGAAATTAATCAAATGAAGATCACAGCCCACTGATGCTGATGTCAAAAGGGGCTGAAATTACCTATGTCAAAATAAGGATGACATCATCTTTAGGTCCAGTTTTCCCATTTTCAGCTTGTACTTATTTATCCTTATTAACTTATCACCTAGTTTAAAGGAACTTTTTCTGTTATTAATACTTGTGCCAAACCAAGCACCTGTAGATTAAAATATCTCTGACTTTCTCATTAGAGAAATTAGGATGAGTTTTCTTAGTATTTCACTATATATCAAGTTTCCGATACCTTAAATCATCCCCATGGGCCTTTCTTGGGCTATTTTTAATGCTTCAACAACTTATAAGTCGCAGCTGCATAACTTGCCATACTGATGTATAAGTGATCTTGCAAATAGCTTTATACACATCATATTTCCCCTGAAATTTTAGCAGATATTCCCTTTACTCAGGTACACCTGAGACAAGTTGGTTTTTCAATTGCTTCATTATGCCATATGCCATAAGAATAATCTGGTTTTCATCTCTTAAATGCTTCCTAGACAGTTTAGAGCACTCAAACTTTTTCTCCACTAGTTTGACATGTATTCTTAATATAAGGGTTATGGCAAGTGATATAAACATATATGTGTCTGAAGTGTTCCTAGTGTACCAAACAGTCTTAGTTTTTTTGTAAAATGGCGTCCACTTAGAATTAATATGCAGTGACTTTGTGTCATCTGCAATTATAAAAATTTTTTTCCGGAGAGCTCATGTAAATAAGTATAAATATGTGCAGAATATTGATTTTCATTCCCTCTGCAGGACCACATTGAAATATTTCAAATGAATTATTCCCCTTTGAAAATACATTTTGAGATCTATCATTGAAAACATATCAATTTTATATAGGTTGAAATAGTGCAGAGGTGGTAAACACTGCCAGTGATATTATTTTTGTTTTGATATTTAACACAAATGACTCTAGATACTTCAGGGAAGCTAAAAAGAAGAAAAATTGGTTTATATTTTCCTGTCCATTACAAAAATGGAGACATCAGCAATCTACATATTCTCCAAGCAGGAAATCTAAGAGACAGAGATGTCATAGATAGGCTGCTGTTGCCTTTATCAGAATTACCCTGTTATTCATATGAATTATTCTTTAATAATTATAATAAATTAAGTGCATATGTTTTTTCCCATCAAGGAATTGAGACAAGCAATCAAATTTCTTTATTTTAAAATAAAAAAATTGTTGATGAAGATCAGCACAGAAACTTGGATAGATTATTATTGATCCATATGTATAGGTCAGCTGATGTGAATGTTATTTTCAGACTAGAGCTATGACAATGTCTCTGTTCCAACGGTCTTATAGACTGCATTAAAATGCAAGTTGCTAGCCTGGCACGGACTCAGTCTCAGCACTTTCACTGATTGCTGGTTGTCATTTAAAATGCAGTGCTAAGATAAAAAAAGTAATGATTTCTTTTGTCCTTACAAAGACTTGTGAAACCAGAAAAAAATAATCTCGAATCAGTTTATACCATTTCTAGATATATGCATTTTACTGCTTGCCCTCCAGAATTAGAACTGTAAGACTGTTTTGCATTGCTACACCTTTATCAGTTGGTATACACAGGTCAAACATAATCACGTTAATTATTGATCTCTATGACAACATTCCATTACCTATCTAACCCATAATAGATTATAAAATTAAGTAATCTCAGTACTGTTTTTGACTACATGATCCAATAACTGGGCTACATAGTGAGAAAGAATATAGAAATTCTCTTATTTACTTACTGAGGCAAACAAGTGTAAAACTGAATGCATTGACAGCAGATCAGAAAACTCTATTATTTACCAGTGTCTAATCACCCAGAGCTGATTACATAAAAAAAGAATTTCCAACTCCTTCAAAGAAAGATAAAGGAGGAATTAAGTACAAAGTCTTTATGTTGATCTCTTTCTATAACATAAGGTGGTTTTGGTCAACTCTGTGCAACATTGAAATATCTGTCAAATGCATGTCACTCTCAACAAGATGTTCTTTCAATGGAAATAGAGGAAGATTTTTAAGAAAATGTAAATATTGACCATTTCCTTAAGTAGGAAAATTTTCATTGAAATATTTTATGTTTTTTCTATTTCAGTGAATACGAAATTTAAAATTACATACTGCATATGGTAAATGGTTGACTCCATCTAAAAATAGAATGCATTCCCCTAGACTTGACAGAATTATATTGTTTTCATTAATTTTTTTGACTTTACTAAAACTGCTGATGTACCGAAAATATATTTAGCAAAACTATGTTTAAGTTGACATTTTATAGAAAGGTGCTCTGCTAAAACGGTGAAGTGTAAAGAAATGTATTCTGTGGGGATCATAGCCAAGTAGATAACAGTTTGTATTTTGCAATGTGACATTGCATGACAGCTTCTGCTTTGCTAGATGATGATATAATTAATTTAGTTTACCTCAGCTACAGTTTGATCCAGTGACTTTGCTTAGTTTGAGAGTACTACACAAAACTTATTTTTAATAAATAATTTTGCTGTACCTATTTTTTCCCTGAAGCATCCAGGAAATTCCATTATTTTTTTTGTTCTCCTAGTAGCCTTAATTGAACTGGACTAGCCAATGTGTGTTGCATATGAGAACACCTTAAATGTCTTGTTTTACCAGTAAAGCTTACAAAGCGTGCCCAAAAGGTGCACCAGGGTGGTACTGACTGCTTTTTCCAAAATGAATCCTGTAGAAATTGTTCACTATCACTAGTCTGCAACATTTTTAATTGCAAAAATAAAAATAAGAAGGAAGAAAAAAAAAAGGTAGAGTCACACAGACCTGTAGATAATGGAATGAGCAAGCCTAGGAGGTGTTATTGATCATAATATTGCTTGCATCAAATTGTTTCGGCTCAGCATTCCTCTAAAAACAGTTGTCACACTGAGTTCTCATCTGTCTCTGTCAGTTTTCTTCATTTCATTAAGGTACTGCCTGAAAGGTAAGGAGAGGGGAAGAATACTGCACTGCAGTTTGATTCCTTTACAACCAGCATCACTAGCTCTTTGATAGTGTGATAGTCTTACTGGACTCTCATGCCTTGATGTTAGCAGTGAACCTTCCATCTTGGAGGTATGGATCACAGAAAGGATCAAAATGCACTGTGATGTTACAAGTTCCAATGATGAACGCAGGTTTAAAAACAAATTGCAATTTGCTATCTTCTGTTTGAAAGGACTATTGCTTGAAAAATACGTGTGAACTCAGAGTTTTTATGTACTGGGAATAGACAGGTATTCAGAAATAGCTGGTTTTCAATAAGTCAGATTTTTATTCATAAGTAATAATGACTGGGAAATTTTCAAATAATGCACAATTGTCAGTCTTAGTTTGACAAATTTTGGCCTCTCACCACATATGTATTAACAAATGTAGCTTTTCATTCCTGTATAATTCTTGTGAGACACGCAATTGTGCAATTAAGGCAAAAGGTTCAATGGAAAATATAACAGTAATTTCCTAACAAAGTATCCTCAATCTATAATTTAGCACATTAAAGACTGGGAATACTTATATATTAGTGGTCATCAAATATTTTCAGACTGCAGGCTTGTTATTCAGGTCAGACTAACCATTTTGCTCCACTTCTTTACATAAAGAAGTAATTTTTAATGTAATTATGCAAATAAGACTCATTTCATTAGAGGCAAGGCATATATAAAGAACTTCTGGTAAGTATGATACATGTCAATAAATACATTGAAATGCTACATCTACAAAACCAGGCAGGGTTTTCAATATCCAATTCTGGTACGTGTAAAGAGGTAGAAATATACATAATTTTTTCCCACTCCTGCATTGAATAATGCTGTAAGATCCAATCTTCACATTTCCTTGTTCGTTGTGGCAAAATAGAAAACTGATTTGTTGCCAATGTACCATTTTTTTCCCTCTCCTCTTTTGACCTTTGTCACGCTTCTTATCTGAACTGTTGCACACATTGATTCTGCTCTAGCTCACTTGTTTCCTTTGACTCTTTTCCACTTAGAATAATGTATGACAAAGATAATGAGGAATTAAACCATGCAAATATCCATATAAACCATCTACTACTGTTTGCTGAGACTGCCAGGATTTGATCTACTGAAGTTGTGTCTGTGATATAGAAAGATGAAAAAAATGAGCCTGGTTATTTATTATCTGACAAATACAAACCAAAAGTAATAATTTTATTGCCTTTCTATGAAATTTCAATTGAGCTTTAAGGAAGCAAAACTCTTTCTGAGTCAACAAACATGAAGAAGTGCAAATTTAAATCCAGTCTGGAGTTAATAATGAGCAAGAATATTCTTAATGAATATTCTGCAGTTTTCTGCCCACTTCAGCCTATTTCCTGAATTTCCTTACAAAAAAATGATGGTTTCCTGTTGTTATCCAACAGTGTTTAAAAACAGAGAGAAGAGATAATTCTTTATTTTCTCCACCTAGGTGGAAGAGTTCATGATAAGAAAATTCATCCAAGTTCCGAATTTGGTGGTGTGTATTTGATGTCCAGGTAGTGGAAAATAAAAGACAGGTTTAATTTTAGTTTGTATTCCTATATTAGACTAGAGGGTAGAAAAAACTTATTTTACAGTGGACTTCATAGGGCTGAGTTTATGTAAATTGTTCAGGAATAAATCTTGGCAGAAGTGATGTCAAAAGCAAATTTTTCTTAACTTCAGCAAGGATGAACAGCTTTTAAACTATAATAGACAGTGATATTTATGGCATCCTATGTATAACTTTGCTGCAGTTGAAATCTGCATCTTGAGCTGAGACGGTACTGCTGAGAACATTGTCCATCTCCTGGAAATTTTGTACCATGAGGAAAATTTCTAACGGCTCAGAAAAGCACTGACATAGAAGTGGTGTGTCAGCATCTAACCTGGTTTCTAGCTGGTATCTTAGTGTAACTCTTTCAGAATGGACATTAAAGAGTTTTAATGATTCGTGCTATAGTTAGCCTGTCTGAGTGAACTCAAGCACTGAGTAGAAATCATCTTTGTGTGGCCTGCAAATATGGCTTTGCATGCTCTGTATGCAGTACAGGCGTATTCCCATATTCCCTCTCTACATCTGGCCTCTCCATTCTTTTTGTCTCAATGAGTGGAGCACATGGATCAAGATGCTCTCATAGGAGTTGGAACCTCTGGGTTTAGTGAGGAAAGGAAGCAAGATTCCTTTGAAGTGTGGTTCTTGACTGTTGGACTTATTTTTTTAATTTTTTTTATGTTTTTCTCAGCTCAAAGTTATTTTAGTCTGTTGATTTTCAGAACCAAACCATCTTTTTTCATCTGTGAGACAGGGCTGGGCTAGAAGGAATAAGGTCACTGACATGAGGACTCATCATCCCGTTGGGTCAATTTGGCAATTAAAAATATAGCCATTGATGCCTTAGACAGACAGATATTTAGTACATGAGTTTAAAATTTTTTTTAGTTATATATTTTTAACAAAGATTTTCTTGAAAAAAGAAAAGTGATTTTCAAATGAGTTTAAAAGAATTTTTAAAATGTTGATATATTAAAAAAGTTTTTGAAATATTTATATATCAATGGGAAAATGTAATGGTCTTTTAAATACCCTAGCAACATTTTAGTTAAATATAAAACCTGTTTCTAATACTGGTTTCGTTTGGTTTTTGCGTTTGGTTGGTTGGTTGGTTGGCTTGGTTTGGTTTTTTATTTGTTTGTTTAGTTGGGGTTTTTGGTGTTTTGTTTTGTTTGTTTGGGGTTTTTTTCCTAGTGATTGGCATAATGAGGTTTTAGAGGGAATGTCAGGGAGATCCTAACCCTACAAAGTCTTAGTGGTAAGGAGTTCCACTAGTCCCTATGATATCTTAAACTGGGTAACATAATTATATATTATTTATTTTATAATGTCACTGAAATGCACCCATCTCTTAATTGGTTTTTCTAAACCTGGTGTATTTCTAAGAACTGAACATTTATTTACTATCTGACTGTGTGTTTCCACTGTATTTCAACAAAAATGAACTAAGAAAAAAGTTATTTTTCTGCCCGAACCATAACCTTCTATAAATTACCTTCTTAATCCTGGTTGCATTAGGAACAGAAGAAAAAATATGCGGGGAAAAGGCTTAACATCTGGATTTCTTTTATCCATATGCTCAGCCCCTAATGCTGCTTCTGGCAATTCAGACTTCAGAGAATATGTAGGTTCCTTCAAATTACAGCATTATAAACATTTTCTGCCTTACTGATTACTACAAGTATAAAATCCCCGTTCATCATGGAGACTATTCTGAAAGTAATCAAAATCCTGTCATTGTCAAGGTCCATGACTAGAGGACAGAGACTGTCGTATGGAAATATGTAATGCAGCATTTTCCAGCGTAAACAGGAATTAATCTTTGATGTATTGAGCATATTAATCATTATCCAAATAGCAATTCCACAGTAATGCAACTGGAAGAGGCCTGAAGAAAGAAGTCCATCTACCATTAAAGTGGTTATTGATTGAAGGTTAATGTTGTGTGTCTGGGAGATCACTCTGCATCCTTTGTCTAATCAAATAAGTGCAGAACTGAATGACTGACTAAACTGCTTGGCTCACTGTTCATCTTACTCAATATAGGATATCAGCATTGACTGTTTAAAGTAAGCCAGCGCCTTTAAATCCACAGCTCTATGTCAACTGGAAATGGTCATATATCCACATGCATCTACCAGAAGAAAATTGATACTTTTCTTACCTTGTTCACATTCAAACTGTGAACCTCTGTAGCTTATTGCATTTTAAAAAAGGCTTCACCCCTTTTTTTCTTTTCCTGTGAACAGAATAATTTATATACTATTATATGGTACTGTATATTTCTGTGTGATATTCATAAAAAAGAGAATGACAAGGCTGGATAAATGCTCCTGAGCAATGGAGAGATGGAAGTAGCCTAGAGAGCATGCTCGAATATAGGAAGACTCAAGCTGTCTTGGGCTGCAGGCAGCAACTATGGAGAGCCTTGGGGTAAGAGCCAAGCCAAGCGGTGAGCATGCAGCACAGGAGGCACAGTAAGGCTGCTAAAAACAGGCAGTGAAAATAGAACCAGGTTCCCCGAGTGACAAAAAAATTTTCTTAGGGACACAGATAGACTGTGCATAGATAGCTGCAGCCCAGGAAAACCACTGAGTTTCTGAAATGAAGCTGGTGATAAGGCTGGGGGCAGAATTATGGTGCAGCGGGAAAGGTTTCCCTTTTATTTTCCTTCTGTCTTACTATCCTGTCAGAGTTTTCTATACCTTCAAATTAGAAAGGGAAGATGAAGAGCTATTATCTAAGCACATAAATTAAATGGCTCAGTCCCTAAATGCTCAAGGATAATACAGGAGTTAACACAGCATTTCAGGGCACATAAATGAAAAGCCGAATTAAAGTCTGCATAAAGTAGGTTGTGTAAATATCATACCAGTCTAGGAGTTGACAGTGTCAACTTGTCAGCTGATATTTCCTCTGCTCTGGTACATTCTCAGTGGATTGACGATTCATTTCACTGTTTTTCTAGCTTAAGCCTGACCTTTATTCCTCAAGGGCCAAAATGAATTGTGGTGCAATCTTCTAGAAACATCAGTAGTGAATGCCTTGTGTCTTACTGTTAAAATAGAAAGAAATGCATGCAAAGAAGTGATTCCAAATGAGTATTTCGGTGCTGTCTTTTTGTTGTGTGACCTGAATTTAAGCTTTTAAGCTATGTTATACTAAAGTCAGTGACAGTTTAGAAATTATAACAAACATTTTTTATCCCCTTATCCTTTGTGGCAATAATAACTAGTCTGTATAATATGAATTTCATTTGGTGTGTACCTTTTGATGAGTTTAATTGTTGCATGACATAATTCATAAAACACTAAACATTAGTCTGTCTGAGTAAAGAACCTATTTGCATGGTAATGAAACCTTCTCTCAAATAATCAACAAGCTAATGAGACATTCTGAATGACCCAGGATTATATGTTGGTTATTCTTGTAATTTAGATCAAACACTGCTGATAAATACAGGAGAAAATCCTTAATTGAATG